CCTGACCCGAGGACACGGCTCCTGACAACTCCGCACAGAGCACTGTCCGGCCTCACGTCCCACCCTCGAGCGGCCGCTGGCTGGCGCGGTGCAGCTAACGGCCACCCCCCTTTCTCCCTGCCCGTTCTTGGGTTGGGTCTGCCCTTTAACCCACCAACTGAGAGAACGCGGACCAAGGGCTAACCCTCGGGGTCCTGGCCAGGCAGAGCACTGGGCCCGGAGCCGAGACAGCCGGCCGCACGTGGGCCTCTGACCAGCCTTCTGGGCTCCTGGGTCCCATCGGCTGTGCCGGCCTCTCTGGTCTCCTCTCCCCGAGAAGGAAAAGTGGGAGCCGCTCAGCGAGCCCCCGGCTCCGTGCCCGTCAACATCAGGGCACTGACCACGTTCTCTGAGGGCACGGGAACTTGATCTTTTACGTTTTTATGGAGGACACTCGCGTCCCAGCTGACTGTACCTGTGGCCCTGCACCGCTGAGACCTGGCGCTCTAATAGCCGCTCCTGCACTGGGACCTGCGACCAGCTCCGCCTGCGCTCAGCGCCGCCCCCAGCGCTTCCTCTGGCTCTGCAAGCGCCGGCCGCCAGAGTCACCGGCTGAAGCTGGCCAAGTGCTCCCGGCCCCGAGTCCATGTGACTAAACTCACTCGCACAGGCACGTGGTCATTCTGTACTGAGAACACGAAGACACCTCTCCGTGTGGCGCGAATCTCCCTCATCCTCTCCCTTAGTCATCGCATGCGCGTAACAGGAACAGCATTCGAACAAACTAAAAAATGAAACTCTTAATGACTCATTCTAAGGCCTCCTATTTGGTCGACTCGTCAAGGCGGGGCTAGGAAAGAGATGGGCCTAAATGCCGTCTCACTGTCACTGTCCACAGACACCACCCTCCCACCAGGTGCGCCCACCCGATCACCCCCGTCCACAGCAACCGCACCACAGACCAACGCTGCTCAGACCCTGACCAACATTTTCTTCCAACGATTCCCGGGCCAACTGCAGGTACACAGAGCACACATGCCAATTCCAAGTCATCCAGGACTTTCACAAATACTAGTGAGAACATTTTAGAACTTTGTAGGTGCAAAAAACAAAAACAACCTAAATGGATTTGTGAAACAAAATAAATAAAGGGGAGCCCTAGCTGATTTGGCCCAGTGGATAGAGCCTCGGCCTGCAGACTAAAAGGTCCAGGGTTCGATTCCGGGTCAAGGGCACATGCCCATGTTGTGGGCTCGATCCCCAGTAGGGGGCGTGCAGGAGGCAGCGGATCAATGATTCTCATCATTGATGTTTCTATCTCTCCCTCTCTCAAATCAATAAGAATATATTTTTTAAGGAAATATGGAGAAAAAAATCAGTGTCAACTGTTTACCCTAATAAAGAAAAATATAAAATAGCAAATAGAAGTTTTTATGAATCTTTCTAAATCTATGAAAATGACAGATAGCCCTCAGTCTAACAAATCACCTTGGAGATGAAATGACATTTATTAAGTACTCTCATTCGTTAAATATCATTATTTATTTGGCTGGTATGTCATGCCCCTTGACCTAATAACTACAGCCATCGTGCCCACAAAAAATATGGGGCAATAATATGGGTTGATAGTACGATGGCTGTATTTATAACAGAAAAAACTAACCTAAATGTTAAACAAATCATGGCATACACATTCAGTGGAAACTATGCTGTCACTAAAAATTATGACTATGTAGTAAAATAATGGTGAAAACGTGGATGGAAAACGCCCATGCCCGCTGCTACGATTATAAAGTTACACATGCAAGTTATGCGACGACTTGTAGCTGCACTGACACAGGAGTGGGAACATTACGGGCACTGTTGATTTTCTTCTTCAAACTTGCTGGTATTTCACATTACTTTCACAAATTAAAAAAATGCGTATCCACCGTGGCCATGCCTGGCCTGAATGGAAGTATATTTTAGGTTTAATGCTTATTTGCAGTTAGCTCTGTCCCGAGCTGCAGCGAAACGATCTCGCCAGATTTCAGCCCGACGGGAACCTGGACAAGAGGACAGACGGGCCCACGAGCCCAGTGAGGCGCCGTCTGCGGGCCTCCCGCCTCCTGCCCTGGAGGGCATCGCGGGGGGCACCAAGCACGTCGCCCAAGCGGGACACCAGCTTTCACGGGGAGGTCGAGGGTGAGCTCCCAAGGCCACCTCATGACAAGGAGGCTGTTTTCTCCATGAAAGTGGGCACTGTCCTCGCATTCTGAGAAAGGGAGTAAGGGAAGCCCAGAGCCTGGCGCAGGCGCTCTGCCACGAGAGGCAGTGACGTCAGAGCTGGCAGCATCCGCGCAGGGGGCGCAGGTGACACCGGGCACCCACAGTGCACGGCCGACTCGAACAGACACCATGGGACAGGAAGCCACCCGCCTGTAAGCCAGGGTGGGCAAACTTTTTGACTCGAGGGCCACAATGGGTTCTTAAACTGGACCGGAGGCCGGAACAAAAGCATGGATGGAGTGTTTGTGTGAACTAATATAAATTCAAAGTAAACATCATTACATAAAAGGGTAAGTCTTTTTTGTTTAGTTTTATTCATTTCAAACGGGCTGGATCTGGCCTGCGGGCCGTAGTTTGCCCACGGCTGGTCTAAGCCATCATTCCAGGAAAGGGCGAGGCAGGGAGGTGAGGGAGACAAACACCAAGACACGGCTACTTGTCAGCAGAGAAAATGTCCCTGTTTCTATTTCCTGCCGCATGGACAGGCCCGGGGGGCAGGCCGGGGAGAGAACGTGCGTTCCTGGAGCGGGAGTTACGAGCAAGGACTTCAATCGGCTTAAACAGACAGACGTGGCCGCGGGGCCGCGTGTCACCAGGCCTCACCTGAACCCCAGCTGCCGGCACACCACGTGCGCGTTCAGCTCCGTCCAGCCGTCGTCACAGACCGTCCCCCACTGGCCCCCGTAGTACACCTCCAGGCGGCCCTCGTGGCTGTCCTTCCCCCCTGCGAGTCTGAGGACGCCGTCTGTGAGGAGGAGACACGAACATGAGCAAAACAATTCTCAGAAAACAGCAAAACGACATCTCGTGTCACCAGAAGCATCGCCAGGCGCAGGTCTCTCCGACTCCAGGCCCCGAGGCCGGTGGGTGTCTCCAAGCACGACACACGCATCCCTGTCGTCCCTGCTCATCTGCGCTCTCGCTCTCCCAGCAGGAAAACATGCTGATGTAATCCCGTGGTAGCTGCTCGGGTTTCTCTGAATTAAGTATTTGGGAAATGCCTGAGGCTTCAACCGCCTGAGGTCTGAGCAGTATTTGTCACGTAAACTTCAAAAGTACGAAAACTAGTAACTTGGAAATAGCTGAAAACTTTAGCTGCAAGGGGAAGAATTAAACATGGAGCCCGGACATGACTGTGGCCGAGGAGGCCCCGATGATGCACTGGCTGCCGCAGGCGCCGTGGGCCTCAGACCCGGCACAGGGCGCGCCTCCGGGCGCCTCCTCATCACCAGATTTGAATTTGAACCTTGTGAACTCAACGAGTGTTCATTCCCAGAGAACCCTGCAACGACGTTCTAAGCAGATTCACAACACGATCAATGTATCCCCAGAAAGTAGACTGAAAAGCCATTGCCACCCAAAATAATCCAAATACTGTCCCAAATGGAACGTATAAATAATCTTGGGCAAAAGTCACACTTTCCATGAGTCTCGGATCTTTTAAAGCACAAGCATGTCTCTTAGAAGGACCGAGTGTAACACTACAGTCCGCCCAGCGCTGTGGCTCGCGGCCACACCACAGGCTGGCGCGCGGACAGGCAGGCGCCCGGCTCGGCCTCGGCAGAACGCTGTGCTCCTACTGCGCTTAGTGCCCGTGTTGTTCTGCTGATGAAAACAACAGTGTGCACAGACCCTGGTAATGAAAAACTGGAACTCCAGCGCTTCGCAGGCCCTAAGGCTTTTTAGAAATGTCTTTTAAACACAGTTTAAAACCCCACATTTTCAAACTTTTTACTATAGACACAGTGGCTCTGTGATGACCTGCCTTCCCTTGGTGTGCACGTCCCTCTTCTGCCCCAGGACGTGTAAGTGCGTGTGTGTGTGTGTGTGTGTGTGTGTGTGTGTGTGTGTATGCATGCGCACACACGCGTCAGCCCTCCAGCACGCCCTTCTCCGGCAGGTGGCGTGGTGATGGCAGCGCTGTGGTCGGGCGCAGCCTGACAGGGGAGCACACCACGGTAGGCTGGTTGCCTTGACGGTGCTGGCTCAGGACCCCGCCATGCAGTTCCACAAGCTGCAAGCACACTCTGAGAGTCACTACAGGTTCACAGAGGAATGGACTAGAGGTCTGATACCTAAAAGGCGACGTTTACCACTGCACGCGATTTTCATTATTGGGGACAACTAGTATATAAGGAAACAAAGTCATATTTTGCAACAAAATCCTATATTCTGACCTAGCTTTACAGGACTGTATACCCTTTTATTTTTTAATTATGTTTTTATTGATTTTTAGAGAGAGAGGGAGGAATTGGGAGAGATAAAAACATCGATGAGAAACATCATCGATCGGCTGCCTCCTGCACGCCCCCGACTGGGGATCAAGCCACAACCCAGGCCTGTGCCCTGACTGGGAATCGAACTCGTGACCTCTGGGTTCATGGGTCGATACTCAGCCACTGAGTCGCGCCAGCCGGGCAGCACTGTATTCTCTCCCAGTGAAAACTCAGCAATGTCCATAAGTAAGGGGGTAGCGTTTTAGCAGACCATTTCTGTTAGGTGTTGTTGGCGTGTTTACTTTTATGCTCAGTTAGTAAGACTACCTACACTGAGACCCACAGGAGCTGGGCCGGGGCTGCCGGGGCCGGGGAAGCCTACCGGTCAGAGGGGTGCAGGACACCCCGGCGTCCTCTCCGTGGCCACAGTTGTGCTCGCCCCAGGAGCCCTTCGGACACTCCTCGATGGCCAGCTCGTTGCCGGTGCAGCGCACTTCGTCCAGCAGCACCGGGCCGGACCCCTCCCCGAAGTAGGCCCGCGTCCACGCTCTGGCGACGCCACTGGCAGGACAAGAGCTGCGTTAGACACGGAGGGTCTGGCGTCCTGCGGCTCCTGGTGAAAGTTTAACGGGATGAGCCCACACTTTCCCTCCCGCACCGCGGCCGCTCTCTTTACGTTCTTGGCCGTGACAAGTGCTCCCAAGGCCCTGGTGTGCACAACGCCTCTCCTTTCAGAGGAACATACCTCGGCCGTTGGCACGCAGGCTGTCCCGGGAAGAGCCGCACCCCGGCTCCCCTCCCAGAGGACGGCATCCGCTTGTTTATTTGTTGTAAAATACACGTAACATAAACCTACCATTTTGAGCGTTTTTAAGTGTGCACTTCAGTGGCAGTAACACGCGCACACTGTGCAAGGGCACACCATCGTCTGCAGACCCTGCCAGCACCCGCGCGGACTCTCACCACCTCCGAGCGGCACGGCTGGCCAGTGGCCCTGGGGAGTGCCATGGCCCTACTCCCCGCTGACCCGGGCTGGGCGCGGCTGCAGCCCTGGCACCATCAGGGCCCTCAGCGGCCAAAGGAGACGGAACTGTGAGGAGGAGGAGGAGCCTGGGCCCAGGACTGCGGACCCGGACCGGACCCGGACCCGGACCCACCCTAGCGGTGCCTCTGGTCCCATCCTGAGAGAGAAAGAAGCTGGCTGCAGCCACTGCTGTTCTCAGCTCCTACAGCCAAACGCCTTCCTAAGGGAAACGCCGCCTCACTCGGGTCACTGTGTAACTGCCTCTCCACGGAACCGAGTGCGCGGCCCGGGACCCTCCGCACGCCCAGCTCCCCTCGGCCTCTCAGACCAGAACATCTGCCATTCACTGCTAATGACGCTGCGCCCGCCCACTATTTTAGCTGCCCTTCCCCCATAACATTACAACTGCCTGGAGAATTTACAACCAAATATACTGAAAAAAGCGCGCTAGTTACAATACCCCAGGAATGGTGAAGTCTCCCAGAGTAAACTTATGGTTAAAGGGGAACTTGTGTGACTCATTGCAGTAGATACTATGGAAGTTTCTCGTAAGAGAACACGTCTGAAGTAATCTGAAAGTAAACCCTGTAGATGCCAGGAAAGCCCCCACCCGGCCTGGGTGCCCTGCAGACGGCGCCGCAGGGGAAGGAAGGAATTCACAGGAGGCAGCGGAGGAAACCAGAGGAAACCAGGACAAAAGGAGCGGCCAGTGGAGGAGGATGTGTGGGCAAAGTTAACATTTTACAGCTTAGAGTCCGACACTGACCCTTAGCTGACGGCTGTCATGTAGCAAACACTGAGATTAAAGGTGAGCATCTACCACTAAGTGGGCAGATTTCAAAGGGAAAAGGGCATTTTCCTAACACAAGTGATGCTGTCAAAGCAACCAGATGTTGTGAGCAGATGGGTTTGCTTTCTAAGGGACAGACAGTGACAGACAGGACGCCACCTCTAGTCTCCTGGAAAGAAGCCACGAGCGCTCGGTTAACGGGGCTTTTAAAGCCATGTGTTTGGTGGTTGCGATGTGGGTCTGTGTGCCACAGAAGAGAGCCACGGACATCACAGGCCCACGCTCACCGACCGGGCCGACGCCGACGCTCCGGGCTGAGGCTGCAGAGCAGAGGCCGATGTGGGGACGGGCCTTCCGGTGCAAGGCTGGGCTCTGGCTGGGCTACCCCGCAACTTACAAAACTTTCCAGGCCCAAGAGGCTTCTTTTAAACACAGGGTGAGTAAACAAATAACTAAATAAACAGACACGGGGAGGCCCGCTCCTTCGCACGACTGTGAGGATGACCTGAAGCAGGGCCTCCGCCGCCTGGTCCCGCCCGACGGGCACGTGAGCAGCGCCCCCTGCAGTTGGTGAGTGACACGCCTCCCGGGTGAGCAAAGCGCCCGCTATCCACCGGGCACCGCACTCAGCAAACATCACAGTTTCCTTCTGCACCAAGGCTGCGCTGGGCAAGTGGCGAGGAGGGAGAATCCACTAAAATCCAGCACGTCCGTGTTCACGTGGTAAATGCTTTTGCTCATCTGTGTGGTTTAAAGCAACTTTACAATAACACGTCTGTGCGGTCACTGCAGCCTCTGAGGCACGGGACAGGGCGGCGTTTTATTCTCATAACACGGGGCGGGGCCTGGGTGACCAGGGCGGACACATCAGGGGCTCCCGCACGCATGCACCGTGTTTCACAGAAGCCGCTGCCATGGACAAACAAAACTCAGGAAGCATGTATGTCCCCAGGAAGGTGCTTTTATGCCAAAACGCCCTGCAATCGTGTCCATGAGGCTGTGGAGAAGTTACAGGGTTTTAAGAGTCAGAGTGGAAGAGCTCTCCCTTCCTGCTCATGGCCACCACACCACAGGGGCAGCGGGCCTGTGACCCCCGCTGAACACCACCCCCTCGCCTCCTCCCCTGGTTGTGAGCTGCTCTCAGAACCGGGGTGTGAGTAATTAGCAGCCTGTGGGCCTTGGCCCTGGGACGGTGCTAGGAGAGGGAAGGATGTATGAAAACATTTTCAATGGGCACAATCCACCGAGCCAGGATTCGGAGCTCTACGAACACCAGGGGCCAATCTGGGAGGATATAGCGTCTGATCCCAACCTCAACAGCAACAACAATAAATTCCAGAAGGTTCAAAGACTCAGGTGTGGGAAGAAAGAAAGGAGGAGAGGAGGAGCAGGGAGGGAGGGCAAAGAGAAGGCAGCAGGCAGGTTAAGAAGTGCCTAGAATAAAAACACTTCCCAGAACCTTGGGAGTAAGGCCTCCTGAACAATATTAGAAACCCATATGTCGGAAAACTGCAACTAAAACTAAGAGTTAAATTGAACCGCGTGCAGATTTAAACTTCTGCAGAGCAGGACTGTTGGAACACAGTGTATCTCGGGTCCTCTGTCCTAGTCAGAACCAAAAGGCAGACTGACCATCTGGAGGAAATATTCCAACTATGTAACAGCAACCAAAGGGGAAAAACAAACTCCCAGAAATTACTATTGTGGTGAAAGACAAAATAACTGATACACCCCCAAAAATGGGGCAATGGAGAAGATCACGCTGTTCCCACAAAAAGCAATGTCCGTGGCCACTGACCATGTGGGGAAACGCACAACCTTACAGTGGCCACATTAAAGCAATAGGAATGCACTCTTCCCTCTTCCATTTTTAGAGTTTAAAGACTCATATCACCTTCACACAAGATTTAGGCTAAAAGGTTACAAACTCAATTCTTTTTATCATCAAGAAAAAATAACAAACCCAACCCAGAATCACCCATTGGCTGAGAGTGACTCAGGATAGGCTGGGCAGAGCACAACGGACTGGGCAGAGCCCCGAGATACACTGTGTTTCAACAGGCGGGCAGAGCACCGGGATACACTGTATTTCAAACCTGAAAGATGATGTGTGTGCACTCTTTCAAAGACCACTGGGTGTTTTATTTTTTTCCTTATATTTCCCCACACTTTTCATTGTTTATAAATATTCTTTTAATGATCACAAAAAATGTTTAATTAATCAGAGAAAAACACACACAATAAACTTGAGAAAAAAAATAGGGGAAAAGTTTATATATATATATATATATTTCCCACAGTGTTTCTTTAATTGACAGACAACATCTGACCTCAGAAGCAGCCCTTCGTCAAGCTGGGCATGATTGTTCGAACCCCACAGCAAGAGCCCGTAGTGAGGTGGGGGTGGGGGTGGGGAGACCTAGTCATCATGGGGGAAGGGGGCAATGAACAGCATGCCTGGGACTCCAGTGGGATGCTGGGCCCCTCCCGGGGGCCTGGTTTCCAGGGTCTGACTGAGCCCAGTGCTTCCCCTCATGACTAGAGCGTGGGCTGGGGCAGCCCCTCCACCTGCCATCTGCAGGCCCAGGCTTAGGGGAGAGACCTGGGCAGAGCAGAGGGGCGTGGGGGGCAGCTGCACCCCACCCACCGGCTTGCCTGGGTAGGGGTTGGGCAGAGGCCTATGGTGACAGAGACCAGATCCAGCCCAAGGATGTAAGAGAGGAGAGGGAGACTGAAAGAGAGAGAGAGAGAGAGAGAGAGAGAGAGAGAGAGAGAGAGAGACAGAGAGCGCAGGTCTAGGAGCTAGTAGAGCAGCGGTTCTCAACCTGTCGGTCACCAACCTGTGGGTCACGACCCCTTTGGGGGCCGAACGACCCTTTCACAGGGGTCGCCTAAGACCATCGGAAAACACATCTATAATTACATATTGTTTTTGTGATGAATCACTATGCTTTAATTATGTTCCATTGGTAACAATGAAATTGGGGGTCACCACAACATGAGGAGCTGCATTAAAGGGTCGCGGCATGAGGAAGGTTGAGAACCACTGCAGTAGAGCAAGGAGGCCAGGGTGGACGGGCCATGAACTTGCATAAAGGTGAGGCCCATCTGAGGCCAAGGATGCAGACCAGGCCAGTGAGGGCTGGGATCTGCAAGTTCACATGAAGGAGGAATGGGCCCCAGGCAGGTGGGGGGGGGGGGGTTTTTTTTTTT